TCGGTTTTCTGTCTAGATAGCCATTCAGATATGAAATCATTTTCTTTCTAAAACAAATAAAATATTCTACTATAATTATAGAACAGTTGAGGATAAATGTGCATTTACTGGTATGCACTAAGACTACTGACAATAAATACGTTTAGGGAGTTACTTTGTAAGATAATAAATAAAAAACTGAAATTTAATAAAAATAAGTGATTTTTTAAAATTCATATTTTTACTTTTTAATTTTTATCATAAATATTTTACCTGTGAGCTAATATCTAAAAGTTTTCCTCCTCGTTTAAAACAGTGTTCCAATGCTTCAGCTTTACTATATCCAATGTCTTGAACTTTACTTTGTTTTTCTAGTACAGGGACAAATAATTTGTAACATCTTCCCTCATATGATACTTCTTCTGGTTGACATTCAGAGCCTGAATTTGATCGACATTTTACCCAGACAGCATCTCTTTCAACATTACAAGTCTTATCTGCAATTTAAAGAAAATATAAAGCAATAGATTAATGTAATATAAAATTATATATTTTAACTGTTTACATGTTTATAGTATAGTATAATTTAAAAAAAAAACACTATTATAAATATATTGTGATATATTAAAATCATAATTATTTGGTAATTTTTATATTTCAATAATAAAATATTCTTAAACTAAAATTATAGAACTATTTTAAAATTAAATTATAGGCCAACTGGTTATAAGTTGTGAGATATTCAAATACGTAATAAGTGAAATATCACTGACCAATCACAATTAAAAAATGAGTAAGATTATGAATTATAAATTTATAAATTCAAAAACTAAATTGGTTTTAAATTTAACTCATAAAAAAAAATTACTTATTCTTTAAATTCAATTATAATATGCATCTATTGGATCTAATAAGTTATAAATAATAGCATTGTATACATTTTTGGCAGATTGGATTCATTTTGATCAATGGATAATAATAATAGCAACAGTAATACAAATATTATATTATATTATTATTATTATTATTATTATATTATATTCAAAGCAGAAATAATCAATTAATATTTTTTAAGGGCCAGTATTGGAAATCATGAAGTTTCTGGGGGTCATTCAAATTGAATGTATAAGTTTATCAAAAATCAAATGAAAATTCTCACTAAGTTCATTGAAAAATAAAAAAATAATGTATAAACTACATCTTGTTTATGAGCTAAATAAAGTTCATTCGCAGGCCGCAAGAAGTCCGCAGGCTGCTATTTTGGCGACCCTTTGAAATATAGTGATGTAGTATGTTATAATTTATAACTAATCAATATTTCAGACTTGAATTATGATTTAATTTATGGGTTGAAATTGTATTTGGTAAGATAGTAATAATAATTTAGCAGAATTAAATTTTCAAAAACATAATAAAATATATTATACTTTTTGAAATCAAATATATTTCTTCAGTCTTAACAACATGTATAATAAAGATATTTAAATGATTTTTAGCTCAATGATCATAAATGTATAATTTTGTTATTTTATATAAAAAAGCATTGATAGAAATGTTAAATAAATAAAATTTGATTATTTTAAAGTACAGGTACCAAACTTACCGTTTTGGAGTTTACAATTATGAAATACACTTTCTTGGCCATTACATGATACTTTAGTAACCCCTATATTTCTTAACAACCTAGAAGGGTTATCAGTAGTCACAGTTAAACCTTGCCATGTTTGTTCTGCTCCTCTAATTAAATTTAACAATAAATTAGTTTCATAATTATTAATTATTCCCTTCAAAAAATTGTGTAATTTCATGAAGCTCAAAATGTAAATAAAATATTATATATTAAATTTACTAGCATTAGGTATGAAAATTAAAAATGTATTGCATAGTTATTGTATACAAATTTCTTAATGATTAGTACCTCTTAAATCCAAGTTGTTTACAAACAATATCTGCTTTCTCGATTGTCCATGAGTTGAGTTCATCACAAACTACACCCCATTGAAAAGGCTTTACTTGAACTTGTAAAAATCCTTCGGAGCTTTTAGGACCTCCGCGTAACCGAATAGACTGAGTACTATTTGGTTTTAAATCAATTCTCACTGCTATGTTGTTGTTGACTTTGTTATTGATAATTTTAGGGGGTGTATATATAATGGAAGAGTTTTGCAAAAAGTTATCTGTTAAATCAATAGATGTTGGATTTCTTAAGATTTTTGACTGTTTATTTTCGCTTGGCAATGTTTCTAACACTGCTTGATTATGATATTCTAGTGGTTCAGATTCAGTTACCAGATCACTATTACTAGTTTCATGATCAAACTCTTGTCTCACATCAATGAGTGCAGTATAATCTTCTTGAATTGTTGTTGGTGTACTATAAAAATAATCTTCTTCGATTGTGGTTGATGTAGTTCTTACTAATTGATTGCATTCCACATTATACGGGTGATCACATACAGATATAGCAGGGTTGAATAATGTTCCAGGACCACAATCCATTTCAAATGCTCTTCCATTTGCACAACTTAGAAATTTGGAACATTCTGTAGGATGTGGTTTGATACCATTAAAGCCATTTGGACATTTAGAATTAATACTTGATGGTGAGTATACTGAAGATTCTTGTGAAGGAGATTGAATATTATCTGTGTAACCAGGTTTTTGAATTTTATCTAACTTTTCTTTTTGTTTAGGAAATTGTAAACCATTATAATTATTTGATAATTTTCTACCAGCAGAATCTCTGTTAAAACTTAATTCTGTGTTTGGCTTTGACTGTTGTATGTCATCAACGGGTTTGGAAATATTAGGAACAACTATTTTAAATTGTTTATTCATTTTCGARTCTCCATTAGTTCGTCTATCTTGTGGTATTGGATTCAAATATTGCGGTTGTTCATGTTCACTAATCATGGAGTGAGCTGAATAATCTGGTGAAGATTTTGAGTTATAACCATGACCATTTGGCATAGGAGATTGTTGCCCATAATCTATGTAAGTTGGATTTGCATTTCTTGATGAATCATAATTATTTGGTTTATGTTCTATTTGTTGTCTATTACCTAAATYAAAGGCTGATGCAGGTTTGTTGAATTGGTTATTAGATGTTTGAAATTCTTCATATTCAGATTGTTCATTTGTATTAGAATTAGAGCTTAGACTAGAACCTTGCTTCCCCTTAAGTTGTCCTCGAATCCAAGAATTTGGATTAATATTAGAAGGATTTTGTGAAACTGGTTTTTGATTTCCATTATATCTGTTTTGAGGATAAGGATACGGGGATGGAAATCGTACTTTTATATTTTGTTGATTTATTTGTTCTTGTCCAGATAAATAAGTATTTTGGGTTTCTTGAACATTATCATAGTTATTTGTATTTGGTAAAAATTGATGACCTTCAGCAATTGACTGACCATTTGAAAATGGTATAGTTCCTTGTTCTGGATTTACATATCCATTGAGATTAGTCCTTGGTGGATTTTTATTAAAATTTTGTTGAATAGGAAACTGTTGCTGAGCAGATTCAGGATAATTTGTATTACTATTAATTGGCTGAGGTTTTGATGATGGATTTTGATTGAAATTTTGTTGAATAGGAAATTGTTGTTGATTAGATCCGAAAAAATTTGTATTGCTATTAATTGGCTGAGATTTTGATGGTGGGCTTTGAACAAAATTTTGCCTGTTAGGGAATTGCTGTTGAATTTGTCCTGGATAATTTGTGTTACTATTAGCTGGTTCTGATTTTGGAGGGWGCCTCGGTATAAATTCTTGTCCCCCTAGTGTATTTTGTGGTGCAAAATTATGATTTTGTTCATCTGGATAAAACTGCTGTGATTGTACTTCAGTGTTTTGTTGTGAATATCCATTGACTACTAAACTAGATCCATAAAGTGGTTTAGACTCTCCAGTTTGTAAACCATAATCAGTTGTTACGGCTGAACCAAAATTTTGAGAAGTATCGGTGTTGAAATTTTGACCTTCAACAATAAATTGTGATCCAACTAAAGGATTATTTGATTGAGGCTGATATTGATTGGTTGATTGAGGCTGATATTGATTGGTTGATTGAGGCTGATATTGATTAGTAGATTGAGGTTGGTATTGATTGGTTGATTGAGGCTGGAATTGGTTAGTTGAAGGAGGWTGATATTGATTAGTAGMTTGAGGTTGATCTTGGTACTTATTGGTGTTGCTAATAAATACACGATCTTGATTAGAAGTCTCAGCATTTAAATCAAAATTCTGAATAGGATTTCTATTTATGAATGATGAATCGATTTTTGATGGATTTCCATCTAGACATTGTACTTTAGCGGGAAAATCACATTCCAAACTATTGGGATTAAATAAAGTCCCTGGTCCACATGACTGGACATACCCACGTCCTTTAAAGCAATTTAAAAATTTTTGACAATCTGATTGAATAGGGAATAAGCCAGTTGTTTTCGTTGGACAATTTTTTCCATCGGATAAAATTACATTATTCTACACCAAGAAAATAAAAAATGAAAACGTCATCTTTGTTGCATGAARTTATAAATATAAATAAATTTCTTACCTCATTATTTATATCTTGGGGACTCTTTGTCTGTGGTTTATAAATTGATGAAGCAATAGGTTTGTTTTCAGATCCTTTGTTTTCTCTKAGACCGCCATTTTTTACTCCAGTGTTAGTATTTCCATTAAATGCATTCCAATTCAATTGCTCCTCGGTAAGTGATGGTCTAGTAACTGCATCCGTGTAGCGAATAATCTGATAATCAAATTTACAAAAATGATCAGCTAATTTTAACTACTTATTTTAAATCTAAAATACTTACACACAATGCTTCATTATGCAAAAATAGTAGAATTACAAAAATGGTGCAACCTTTCATGTTGATGTGTACATTTAAACTGAAAATATTATCATTTTACTTGATTTTTTTGATACTTATCTAAGGTCCAAGAGATCAAAGGTCAAAAAAACATTTACAGAAAAACAAGGCTATTCTATAGGCTTATCTGTATACAATACAAGTAAAATATCACCTTGCTAAAGTATCCGGTTAGATAACCCTTTCTTGATCCACAATTCACAATAGAAAATATTTATTTACATTAAAACAATAATAATTACTAATAAATAACAATTTTATTTCCAGAAAATAATTACAATAACAGCAATCAAGAAATTCTTAACTTAGATTTAGTCTTATCCAATATATATTTGTATGGATATTCATTATTGTAAGGTGTTTTTGGTATACCAAAACATTTACGTACATGTGGAGACAATAAGAATAAGTTTTGAGATAGACCATAAATACTTGATGCAGTCCAATATAAGCTCACACCCTAAAAAAAAAAAAAAATAAAAAATTTAGTTTGATTACCTTTTATAACAAAATATTATACATACTGATGGCAGAAAACATGAAAGTGGCATCATGATAATAGTAAGACCTCGGAAGACGTTTGCTATGATTTTTTGATTACGGGTTGGTTCTTTGTTTCGTGATTGAGTTTGAACCTACAAATATTAAATAAAATKTATATAGTTAATACTTAAACAAATACATTTTTTATAAATATAAACAAACAGTACTAATTTACTTATTTAAATTAAATTACCTCAATAATTAAAAGATTTGATAGACACATAATTATAGGTAAACACATAGTTGAGTCTATGGCAGTTAAGTTTGTAAACCACAAAATTCCACCTTCAGTTAGTTCGTAAAACCTAATAACAGCTTTTGAAAGTGTATATCTTATATAACAAAACATGAATTATGGCATATTATTAAATTCATAAATATTACCATCTTCACTTGGAGGCAACATTAATGTGAGATTACGAGTTGCTACCGACATACAAATCCATAATGGTAATTGCACCCATACAACTATTGATGACTTTGCAGGATGACAGTTTTCATTTACTATCAATTCATTCCAATACTTTTTTACCTACATTAAATAATAAACATATTATTTATAGAACTATTAATTGTATTCTAGCAAGAATAACCTAACTGCTTACTTAAAAAAAAAAAAAATACAATATGTATACACTTACAGCTTTGTTATAAACACGTTTAGCTTTATTTTCAGGCCATCTATTCAATTTGACTGCCTTCACTACTTCTTTTTGTATCTCTACTACTGTTGGTTGAAATTCAATAGAAAGATTTTCCAATTTTGAATTATTATAATGCTRAATTGAAAATAAAAATATTTTTTAGGTAAATATCACTTATCATAAAATATATAATATTTCAATTTAAAAATTGATTTTTATTTTTAAACACAAAGCTGATATTATTTATACTAATATTGAAATATTAATGATTAATAAATTTGGCCATACAAAGATGTATTATCACTTAAATACTGAGTTTTTCAACACTTTTTATAGGTACRATTTGTATTAAAACATTGATTTAATAATATTCAAGTTTGTGTGTAAATAAATCTCTTAAATTTTTAGGAATAAGATTTAACGGAATTTTGCCTACTTGGAACACTGTCAATGGTAGAGTAATGACTAATCTCAGAGCTACTGCACTTAGCATTATTGTAGCCCACCAAGGAGTGCCAGTAAATTCATGAAATGATATTATAAATTGTTGTGCATAAGCTACCGGTGTACTGTTTGATAATGCCATAAACCACGAAGGAAATGTGACTGAGGAGTCTGATGCGACACTTCTATTTGATGAATGTAGAATATAGGTGTTATGTTTACTACAAAGTGATGAACATGGATCTGGTCTTTTCATATAATAGCTAAAAAGTCGACAGTTRATGATTTTTTTTAGATTTGTTTGACGAATAAATAAAGTCTGTAAGATCATTTTATAGCTTGCGGTTTTCAAATGACAAGTAAAAAAAGAAAATTAAATTAAATTTTTTAAAACTATATTAACAATAATAACAATAAAGTACATCGCATGAAGCACATGGCCAAATATTTAATGAAGTATATACTTCAGTACTTCAATACGAGACTTCAAGCGTAATGCAACAATGCGTAACCAAATAATTATTTAAATAATACTTAGAAATTTAAATCACGGTTATCTACAGATTGATATGTCTATGTTATTATCACAGGATATTTGATATCCAGAAAAGTTAACATTATAACCTCAAACATCTATAATTTGATACTACTATTTTCATTTCCCATACCTAAATAGTAAATAGTATTTTCGTAGTTAAGATAATACTTAAATCTTTTAGTCTTTCACCCCTTTTATGGAATAAGTAGCAAACAGCAATAGCCTACTAGTTTACTTGAAATTGTTGCAGCCTACCGAACTCGAAATAAAAAATGCAGGTAAAAAGGATGTTATTATTTCTTATTTTCAGAAAACTAAATATGTTTTCAAATTGATACTACTTGTTACTGATTTCAGAACCCCAATGAAGACACTGAATGGAACGATATATTGCGTTCAAAAGGAATACTTCCACCTAAAAAAGAAAAAGAAATAACAGAAGAAGATGTCATTAATCTTGTAGAACAGACAGTCCGCGAAAAACAAAATGGTGAATTTGAAATTAATTCCTTAAATTTTATTTTTGACATTTAGATCTTTAGATTTTATAATATTTGATTTAGTAGTAAATAATTATTTATTACTATTTATTAAAATTTATAATTTGAGTTATTTCAATTTTATTATATATTAATAAACAATAGTCAGAGTACACCGTCTGCTTTTTAAATTTTAAAATTTTAAATRTTATGTTTTTAGAGGTTTTTAATGTTCTTATATATTTATGTATAATATATGTAAGTGTCTTTAAAATTCATAGATTTTGACCTTAAAATTAATCTTGGAATTTTATTATGTAAAATAATATCTATTTCAAAATTGAGCTATTATATTTAACCGTATAAATTGTATGTGGGTCAATGCGTTCCCAATCCTCTTATATGGTAGAAATTCATCACCTTTTAATATTATCATAAGCTAATATTTAAATTCATTTAAATTATTATTAATTTTATTAAAATACAATATGTTCATCAATGATTTTAATTTTTTTTTACTCTACTCAGGAGAAAAAAAAGATATGGTTGATATGTCATTGGATGAACTGGATGAGTTAGAAGATGATGAAGATGAAAGAGTTCTAGAAGATTATCGTAGACGAAGAATAGCAGAGTTAAAAGAACAAGCACGAAAAGATGTTTTTGGTGAAGTGATAGAAATAAGTGGTCAAGATTTTGTGAGTCAAATCAATAAAGCAGGGTCTGGAATATGGGTGGTCTTATTATTACATAAATCAGGGTAATGATATAAATTATTTATTTAGGTTTTTTTTCTTTAATTTTATTAACTATTTATGCTATTTATTTCTTTTTACAGCATTCCAATTTGTGCATTGCTGAGTGAATATTTAAATCATTTAGCAAGAAAATTTCCTGCTACAAAATTTGTTAAAAGCATTTCAACAACTTGTATTCCAAATTATCCTGATAGTAATTTGCCAACTATTTTCATTTATTATGAAGGAGACCTAAAACAACAATTTGTGGGACCAAGAATATTTTCATTAACAACTACTCAAGATGGTAAGTGTTATACTTTTAACAATAATGAATTAATTTAGTATTCATTAATGAAGGCATAAGATTAATAAACCTATATTTAAATATGCATAATTCAAATATTTTATAGTAGATACATTTCGATAAAAATAAAAATTGAGAAACAAATAAATAATAAAAAAATAACTGCAGGCATTATAAACTAAGTATTTTAAATTTATAGCCTATAATCAAGTTTATATTGTGTCTTCTCATAACATTATTCCCTTATATCAACTAAAGCAAAACAATATTGTRGACCTGTCTGGCTGTTTCATATGCAGTACTTGTGTAGAGTAGGTTAAACTACTAAGGCAAACAATACTTAGCTGTTTAAAAATTAATTTGTTTGATATCTAAATTACTCATTGAATGACATCATATATTGACCATTAAATAGTCAAAAAAATAAATTKTCATTAAATTATTATTTATTTATGCGTATTTGTATGTGTACAACATGTTAAATATTATTGATACTTATTTAGGATTAGGTGAGGCTTTTATATTATTTTGTCCCTTCCTTCGCCATCTACTTCTTAATTGTTATAAAGATGTATACTAGTGTTAACAAAACGATAAAATAATTAAGATTACCCGGGTTCAAATTTAGCAATCCAGATTGAATTTTACAATGTACAATTTTGATACATATTATTATAAACCCTAGAATTCTTAAAAAGTTTGGCTTACATTAATTGCCCCCCTAACCATTCTAAAAAAATTCAATATGTATTATGTATACTAAAGTATTAAAATAATACAACGATTCAGAATTAATAATTGCATTACCCTATGATAATAGGACACTAAGTATGTGGTGAATTATCAATTGTTTCATACCTTTTTTGGACTAATATGTTATTAATGCCATTTTTCTATTTATTTTATGAAGTTTAAGTAATATTATGTGCATGTTTAAATACTTCGTTAATTGATCATTCCAATTATATACTTGTGTAGACATTAACAGAATAATTAATTAATCATATTTTTACTAACCAAACTAGTTTTGTCCATTTAATGCACTCAATTATATTGTGTAATTAATAATAATAATAAAAAAAAATTATTTACTTGTAAATAAAAATGTATTTATATTTTATAATAATTTTCTCATATTAATCCTAGATAATATAATATTTTTTTTTTATTGAATTGCATTTTATTCATTTCAGAGTTTGAGTGGATGTTGGGTCAAACTGGTGMTGTGAAAACAAAGTTGAAAGATAATCCTAGACCAAAGACTAGAGATGTGTTGTTTGACAATTTACTCACTAATATATGAAGAAATGGCTCAATATGTTTTTAAGTTTATATTTATTTTATACATTTCTTCCTTACTGTTTTACGTTTGTCAATTTTTTTTATAACTAATCATCCCGTGTTTGTTTTTTATTTATTTTTAATAACAAAATAAACAACAATTTTTGTACAATTAATTATATTCAAAAATTATTTTGTTAATTTATCCATACACAAAATATAATATATTGTACATAAACATATATATTTTATTGTTTAATGGTCTTAAAATTAAAACAATTCTCAATAATTCATGATTTTTTATTTCTTGAAATTAATAATTATTATTGAATAGTAATATCTAAATTTTGTTTCCCATTTATACCTACTGCAAGAATCAAAACTATTAAATTAATCATTTATTTTGATTGTTTTATTAAAAAAATGTTTGTAATTTGTGCTTTATGGCATATATAGTAATAAGGCTATTTATAACATAATTATACTGATATTGCATACAATAAAAAAACTTGCAATTCCTTTTTTATGATTTCATTATTTTCAAAACCCATATTATGTTATTCTGTACATAACATATTGAACTTACTTAATTTAGTAACAGTTCATAATATTTAAAATCTAGTCAATCAACTTCATGGATATTTTATGATGTCGAAGTTAATCCATTTTAATAAAATTAATTTATTAAAGGTAATACTTATCATCTACCTAATGAATTACTCAAAATATATTTTATTTATTAGTAATGTATCGTAATAAATTCTAAAGTAATACATTTTTATCTTGTCCGAGTTTGAACTGACTGTTTATATGAGCTTTTCATTAAACTTGAAAATACGAGGATAGTGATGTAAGAATTATGATTTAATTGAGGTTCCTTTATAAAATCTGGTGTATAAGTAGTAGGTACAACACATTAATTTTTAAGGATCAAATTTATTATTGAATAATTAGTAATTAATTTAATATATATTATATTATATAATCCGATGAACAGCGGTGGTTCTAAATTTCTAATATACCACATACACAGACTGACACTACGTACAAATATAGATGATAACAAATGTTCGGCATTCAAATTAACGTGGAAAATATTAAATGTGTTCATTGACTGCAGTTAGGCTCGCAACTTTTCTACAATTTCTGTTTTTGAGAGTAATTTATCTACTAAATAAAATATTTTAATGTGCACACTGCGCTGAGCAAAGAGAAATCAAATGTATTGTGTAAGAAAAAAGAATTAGTAAGATGTACGCCATAACGAACATAAATAATTAAAATTTGCAAGTAAATCATAGGATTTACATCACAGAATAAAACCACGAATAAAAATTATTCAAAACAAAAACAATTAAGAACAATTAATAAATTAATGCTTTCATCAATATTTACCACGGCGCGTTAGGTAGGCAATTTAGGTCCATTATCGTGACTTAATATTCAAAAAATCACAATATACCTTATCGACATTACGTCATGTCATCATGAATAAGTCAAGTGTCGTAAAAAAAAATAATACATAGGCTTAAAACTTAAGTCAACTTATAGTGATCCAGACAATCCAGTTAATGGTTTACCTGGGAATCGGGATTCGGGAAGGTATTTTTAAAGATTGAAATTAAATTATTTTATGCGTTGGTGTTGGTCTACRGTTATTGGTTTATAATTCAGGGTTTCCCAACCGGTGTGCCGCGAGGCCCATATTGGTGTGCCGCGAAATTTCATGACTATTAATAAACGTTTACGTAACATTTCAGTAATTGGTTAAAATAGTTTTAATGATTCTCTTATCGGGGATATGTTCACTATTTCTTATTAAATAATTTAAAATATTAGTCAGTTAGTCGTTTGTTGTCTGCTGTGATGAGTGTGATTGTAATGTATCTTGTTTTTACATTTCAATAAATTAAATATTTAGGATAATTATATTAATATTTTTTCCATTTTAAACTGTTATCTAGTAATATTATACTGATATAGTGATATACAACAACTTTGGTAATAATATTTAATATCTATGAAAGTCTGGTATAAAAAAATATGTATAAATATTATATTATAAGTCAGTGACAAGGCTAAATATGATGGGTTGGGATTAGGGTGCCGCGAGGGAAAAAGGCTGGGAAACGCTTTTTAATTTWTCGAACAAAGTTCGATATGCTTTTTCTATGA